TACAATATAATTTTCAATGATAAATACATCTAAACCATCCAAAAAAACCGTTGACAATAAAAACAAAAAACATGTATCTATATACTACATAAAAAAATCCGAGAGAAAGGATATAAGTACTGAATCGATTATAGTAGATACTATGATTGATGAGTAAATTAGGTTTCTATTGCCTACTGTCATCATTGAATATATATATATTTTGACTAGTACAACTAATATTCATATGATTCATTATTTATTACGATTTTACAAACGATTAATTTTTCAATTTATTTAAACTGTAAAAAGAAAACAAAAGTTGCACAATTAAACATTCGCTTGTTTATTAGTTGTATTTGATACATTAGAATTAAAACAAAGAAGTTCTTTAAGTTCTGGTATAATTATAGGTCGATATTTTTTTTCTAATGATACCATATAATCAATAACATTACGCATTGAAAATCCTCGAATTTGATGACACTAAATTAAAATAGAAATTCAATTACATATCAGAAAAAGAAAGTCTTTTTTTCCGTATACAAACTTTAAGAAATGGTAATAGGTTTCTTAATGAATGTTGATATATAATATCTTGTTTTAAATGACGAAGAAGTGCAACACAAAAATATACTTGATAATCAATACCATAAAGTATACATACACAAATATATGTTACAATTTCTGGCCAATCTAATACAGACCAAAAACATTGCTTTGTCCAATGTACAACCATCTATTAACATATATATAGGAATATTCTTCTTTCGTTTGAAAAAATCTATTCTTAACTTACATGAGATATAGCTAAACCTGACATACGAAAAGCAGCAAATATTGGTGCCATTTCTTGCTCAACTATTAATTCAACACAATGTCCTATACCAGCATAAACTGGATTTAAACCATTAATATTCATTTCATTACTGATAAATGGCTAAGAAAAACAAAAATAAATTAAATATACTTCTGTAACTTTTTTTTCGGAGATATAATTAAAATATAGATAAATACTGTATTAAAAAGACGTGCATGCCAGAGAAAACCAGATGGTAAAAGCAATGAAAATGTACGTAACCATCGCCATGATCGTATATCATCACAACCCATTAAAAGAAAAATACTTGTTGAAAACCAATCGAAACCGGGATAAGCATCCGATGATGAAGTATAATCTAAATATACATATACAGAAATATTACAATGGAAACACCACTCTGAAATCAAAGAGTTTTGGTCTGTATATATGATAACTATTTAAAAAATACTCGCAGTTTAATTATAAGATAATAGAAATAAAAGACGTTATTTCACTAATATGACTTATTCTGCAATAACGTCTTCAA